CCCCCCCGTAAAAAAGTTTATGACCTGTTGATCCTGCCAGTACATCCAATACATTATTTTTCTTGCCTTTAAAAGGGTCACAACTCTATAGTGGAATCACGCAGCATGTCACCATGTGCACAGGGTAGTCTTGGTTTGAACATGCAATTTTAAATGGGTTTTAAATAAATGCCAACATATTAAAGCCAAACTCCAGCTAACAATTTTGTAGCAGTTGCAGTAACCATTTTCTTTCGATTTAAAGCATATCTACACCCTTAAGCAAAAATTTAATATATTGTAGTTTACCAATTCTTAAATGTGGTGCCTGCATTAGTTTTCTTTTTTAGGCTTATTTCCCTTAGCTTTTTTAACCTGGTGATCCAGCCAGTAAATCTGTTATTTTTCAACTTCCCTAAACAGACCAAGTTGTCCATTAAAAGCGGCAGATAAAGGGATAAAACAAACCATTCAACACTGACAGGGGTGCCTACAATTCATTTATGTGAAACCTTAATTTAAAAAGAAAAACACTGTTGCTGTAATTGCCTAAATAGTAGTAGCTGGAGGTTGGCTTTAATTTGCTAGCCGAGTCAATCTAAATATGCTAGTCCATCCAATACTACCCTCTCCACAGGTTGACAATACTGCTGTCCAAGGGTGACTCCATTCAGAGGTGTCACTGGACGGATGCGGATCGGAGCCCACTCAGGTGACACCCGACATGGGGTGATACCAGTACACCACCAGGTCTCGATCCGCTCCCAAAGCCCGAGGAGAAAGGGGAATATTTTATCGGCTAGGCAAATTAATTCAGGATGGAGAAGGGGGGAGCAGACTGGAGAATGTCTGTTCTCCGATCTGCTCTGTGTGATCAATGAGACTGGAGCACCGTACTCACAATGCTACCTGTCCCAGCTGTCACAACCTGGGCTGCACAGGAGATTGAGCACAATTCTGTGCTCGATCTCCTTTATCGGAGGGCAGGGGAGACATTTTATCGCTTTCTTACTGAACATTTTTTATGGGGGGAAACCATGAGTTACCGCATAAGATTTCACCAACCCTGGTGACGCCTCTAGCTCCATTGCTCCTCCATAAAGTAGAGCCACCTTAAGACAGAAAGTCTGTTACTGGCCGTATTACCAGGTATAAATAAAGTAACAAAACCCTAAAAAAACCTCAATGCAGCCACCATAATATTTTACATTTCGTTTTGGATTTAGAAATGATTGGAACCATTTGAATGAAAGCTGACCATTGCAAGCACCCCAGCAGTGTTATATGGTTTGTCCCAACTCATGTAACTGCCAGTTTTGCTGGTTGATAGCCGGATCTTGTAAATGTGAAAAAGAATAAAAAAAGTAATGAAAAATAAAACAAAGGAATTCATGTTCGAAATACTATCATTATAGGTATTAAAGTGACATTAAAGTCAAAAACTTTATTCCCTGCCCCCAATGTTTATGTCAGCACTTACCTTAAATTATGTCTCTTAATCTGATCTTCCTCTTCTTTCCTGTCCTTTTCATCTGTCTCTCCAGCGCTGCTGCGGGTCTCCGATCCAGCACTGACTCCTCTGTCCTTGCTGGCACTTCCTATCCCACGGTGTCTGCATGCGGGTGCATGCGTCCATAGACTAACCTTGTGTCTCTCCTTGTCTCCCGGCCAAAAATCAAAACTGCGCATGCACCCGCTCCAAGAAGATTTGCGGGCGCCCGAGCATTTTCGGATTTTCAGATGGGAGCACGCGGCGAAGACAGGGGTAGGCTTAAACCGCTTTTAAAGCAGTTAAAAAAAACCCTTACTTTTTGCTTATATCTACTGCTTGCTAGGGTTTCTAAACCGGAGGGTTTAGAAACCCTTTAAGCAGAGGGCAACCAAACTAATTAAGGGGATGGAGGACCATAGCTATGAGACAAGATTACAAAATTTAAACATGTTCCCGCTGGAAGTGAGGTAAAAGTGCCCATACACCTGCCGATTATCGTACGATAATCGGAGGGGTTATGGAAGGCGTGCAACTGTTTCTACTGTACTGTCGCACGTCTTTTGTCTCCTGAGCAGGCTTGAAAACCCGCCGAGAATTGTACGATTTTTGGCGGGTTAGTGGCATTCCCGGGAGAATGGGTCCTGGGGCCGAAGCTAGCCGAAGGATCGGCCGAAGCAAGCGCACACTGCCCGCTCAACATTGCAGTCTTCGGAAACACTCCCCTCAGCGGGGCGGGCTTTTGGTGATCGCAAGTACGATCTGCCTGTCCAAGATGGGCAGATCGTATGAGCTTTTAATTACCTTACAACCATCGCCGGATGAAAGTCGTGCGATGGTTGTAAGGTGTATGGGCACCTTTAGTGAGATGGCCACCAGAAAAAGTGTCCCATGTGAAAGTGAGAAAAGCCTAGCACCTCCTGCTGAAAACAGGTGATAATTAGATCCTGACAAATGCAATCCTTTCATAGAAGTTTAGGAAGAATTGTGGCAACGATAAGAGTGGATTGTTGGTAAGTTTTACCAGCCCAGGTTCATAATTTGGCATATGTCTGTTTTTGAACGTTCTCATTCATCTATGTAATGGTATATCTGTAAAAAATAAATCAAAGTAAATGGAGTTGCTGTATTTTTCCTGAAGACATTTAGCTTCTCATCCAACTAGCTTTCTCAATTCAGAATATTCAGTTTTGAGTTGAGAAAGCTGGTCGGATGTCCAGTGAAACATCTTCAAGAAAAATACAGCAAGTCCAGTTGCTCTGATGTATTTTTACAGACATGTGTGTTGTGCATGTCCGGGCCTTCAGTACCTCAAATGTTCCATTGGGAAGACTTAAATATTGTAATGAATTTAGAAAAGAACACCAGAATAACATCCATAGAACTGTGTTAATGACTGAAAGTATGAATGAGTTTGTCAAAAAGTGAAATCCTTTGCATAGGAAAGTGATAATTTCACTAAATGAAATATTATCTATAGCTCAGCAAAACCATTTAGTGTCTTTCAAGACTGATGAATGAAAACGACACAGGACACAACTTACTGCAAATAAAAAATACAGCCTGAATTAGGACCCATTGCTAACATGAGACTGGAAAGGAGGTTCTCTGTGTTGTTTCCTCCTGTTTTATATCTTTGGCTCGGTGTGCTGAGCCTCCCTGATGAACATGGAATTATAGATGGATGATACCAAGAGAGATTTAGGTAGTTTTTTTTATGCAAATGTGAATTAGATGGTGTTTTTACATTTATGTGAGTTTTTAAGGGCAGTACAATAAATATATTCAAAGCAAAACAAATAAACTAAATGTTAAATTAACTGTTATTATTTTGGGTACTTTAAGTTAGTGGTAGTAATTCATTTTTGTTGTCAACACAGAGGCAAAATACAGTAAAAATAGCTAAATAATTATTAATGCAAAGAAAACCTATTGCAAAAATGCATAAACTATATTTTCACATAATTACCCCAGTCAGTACCACAAAGATATCACGCAGAACGTTAAACAATATAAGTATCACAAATTAATAATATTAATATTCATTAATAATTTCATAACATGCTATGAAAAGGCATTAAACAGCAAAACTGCTTAAAGAATAAAAAAAAACCCTTAATAATGTTATCAGCATCATATACTATACAGTACATTGGTATCAAGGCAACTTTATTTGAGTCTCACGTTCACAACTGTTTTTTTACAGATATTTTATCAAAGACATGCAGTGATTTGTTTTGGACCCATTTCTATTGGGTTTCTTCCTAGAACAATGGGGTCTATTCACGAAGCTGCCGAGGGCAGCTAATAATTTTCCCATTGAAAAGCATTGGGACATTACTATTGGCTATTTCAATTTGCAATAGCCAATAGTAAACTAGCATTGTACCCGCCCTCTGCTGATGGACCTGATGGGGAACTGCAGCAGTGGGCGAGTACAATGCTAGTTTACTATTGGCTATTGCAAATTGAAAAAGCTCTACAAAGGCAGAGCCAGATGTCAATCAGGCAGGGGGTGGATCCTGACAACATTGGCAGGATATTTTCCGGCTTTAGCACGACTCTACTCTGTCAACAAATAGCGAGCAGTAACCCGCTATATGCTGACTTTAGGTCACAGGAATACTTTAGTAAATATACTCCTGTGACCCAAAAGAGGACTAAAGACAAAAAAAGTTCAGCTTTAGTTCTCTTTTAAGCACACCTGCTCTGTGTACACAGTTTTCTATACGTTTTCAACCACATTTTTCACAATATCCTCTCTGATAAAATACTGTAGTCATAACCCAACTCATTTTGCTAAAAAATTTAGGCTTTGCCCTATTGAATCTTGTAACGCCTGAATGGACTGCAGTAGTGTGGATCGCAGCTGCGTGCAGCATTTCAAACCAATTATATGTATTTTAGGAGTTTTTTTGTTTTGTTTTTTCATTTTGTGATAATTAAATGGGCTTTAGGTCTTTGAATAAATGAAAAACTTCAAAAATGAGTTCAAAAAGATATTTCAGTGAAACAAAAGATGCCTAGTTTCAAATTGTTCTATTGCTTTATAACGAACGTAGGCTGAAAAAGTTTGTCATCCATTCCATTATTTGATCTGCTTGCACTGGCACTCTTTTGAAGTGTCTTGATTTTGCATTGCTGTGTATAATAATTAGCAAAGACTAAAAGAAAAAAGAATGAGTTAACCTAAGTCATTAGCATACAGGGACCATCACTAATTATGTAAAATGCTGATGAAAAGCCATTAATTGGCATGACAGAATTTTCCAACATTTTGTACGTAGCAAAATGTGGAAACCTTGAATAGCATTGGCATAGGGATGTGATGACACAGCCATAAATAATAAGATGAGCAATAAAAGTCAATTTGTATTCACATACTAAGAGATATAGAAATATGCCAAGATGTAATAAATGAGGGAAAATGTAGACTTACAAGTTACGCAACTCTGGAAACCGAGAGAAAGCATCAGGGCCAAGCTTTTTCAACAAATTATGTTGCAATGACCTGAAAATGACAGATAGGATGTGCTTAAAGAACATTTAAAATCATTTTTATATTCATGTCACATTTACCTCAATAACAAATAGAATTTGGAATAGGAATAATAGTAGTTATTTATTCTGCTCGCTGACATCCGGTCACCTTGCTAATAATAGCAATATAAATACATAAAGTCCAAGCCCAAACAAAACGGTTGGGGAGATTTCTCTTCACTTCCTGTTCTGTCTGACAGCGGTCAACTAGGCAGGAAGAGGGGGCTACTGCAGTAAAAATCCTAACAGTGGTTCTTAACCTTAACCAAGCAAAATTGTTACTTATTTCTGTATTTGTCCTTGGCGGGGGAAAGGGGACAGGGGGTTCTTTCACTTCCCTATTCAGACACTTTTAAAAGAGAAGAAGGAGGGAGAGTTTCCTTCACTTATTGTTCTGTCTGAGTGAGACGAAATCTGCTATATGAGGAGGTGCATCCAACAATAAAATGTTGACGGAGGTCTTAACTTACTTAATTCTCTCCTAAACTAATAATAATAAAAAAAGATTTGGCTGGAGTTTGGGTTTAATCATTCACCAATGTGTCTTCAATAGCCTGAATAAGATTGGTTTTAGATAATTAGATAATTTTACTGTAAAAGTTATCGTTAGTCTTGATACTGTTTGTTGAATAAACCTAAAGGGGCATATTTATGAATAATAAAGTCCAACTACTGCCCACATTTTTTTCAAAGTTTAAAGTAGAGTAGGGGGAGAGTTAAACATTTTAATTTTATTGTTATCTATGACCCCACTGGGGTAGTTTTTTCTCACTTCCTTTCCCTGGGACAGCACTGCCAGGAATTAGGGGAATGGTTGTCACCAGGAAAACAAAACACATATTAAAAAAAAAACAGAAGTTCTAATGTTATCCACTCTTCTAAAGGTTTTCTTGCCTGGTTGTAAAGGCTTCCCCAGCACTTATTATCCCTGTGACACTTTATCACTCGGACAGAGAATAAAAGGATTTATCACTAATAGGGACACACACAGTAAAAAAAAGTCTGGCGCAGGTTCTTGCCCTTCTCCAGATGATCCAAATCCAAAAATGAGCTGTTGTTACTGGTTTAGGGGAGAACTGTCCTTTTCTCATCTAACCTACCCTTCCTGAACTACCTACACTAGACTCCCCCACCCCAGCATCTTACCTCTGTAGCAGAATCATATCTTGTGCAATGTTTTAATCATCCTTTGCAGAATTACTCTTGAGAGCAGATAACGCCAGTGTACAGGACAGCCCTATACATGTCTATTAGGTCAGTACACATTTCTGCCCAAGGTAATGAATGCATTGCACAGGATGTGGGTTGGGGGAGTGCTAGTAGATGTTAGTTCAGGAGGGGTAGGGGTGGGTTGAAGAAGTTTAGGAGAAAACTACACCATTCTCCCCAAAAGAACAGTGTGGATGTGGATTAAGTTATTCAATGACAAGCTGAGCATGGGTGCATATCCTACCTATGGCCCTAAGGCTAAGAAACATGCCTCAGCAGCTATTTTCCAGCTCCCCCATCTGAAATGATGGCAGCTCCAGTTCCCAGAAAAATAGACATCCACTGCAATAGCTATCAAAGTTGGTGCATGTTTGAGGGAGTGAAGCTCATAGAGCAACATTCCAGTGTAAAGATACCCTACAGATAAAGAACTAGTTTTGGAATATGCATGGGCTCATTAAAACAAAGAACCATAAACAAAATGCTCTAATTTATATCAAGCAATCATCTTTCCCTGACTGGACTGATGTGAACTTAACTATAACTGGCCTGCTTTGAGTTGCTGCACTTCATAATTTACACATTATCATAACATCCTTAACATCCTTCAAGTAAATGTGTTACGTTTTGGATGACGTAGGCAAAGGTTATAACTAGTGATGCACCGATACCGGTATTTTGGTACCAAGTACGAGTACCGATATTTTTTTCCCGGTACTTGCCCATACCAAATACCAAGAACCTTTGAGGAAGCCAGACGGCGTGTAATGACTCGCCACCTGGCTTCCTGATTAGCCAGTAAGCCGGGCAGCGTGTAAAGACTCGCCACCTGGCTTCCCGATTAACAAGGAAGCCGTTTCATGCTTCTCGTCACTATGTGATGAGAAAGCATGGAGCCGGCTTGCTGGCCAATCATGGAAGCCGAGCGCCGTGTAACGACACGGTGCCCTGCTTCCTGATTGGCCAGGAAGTCGGCTCCATGCTCTCTCGTCACAAGTGACGAGGGAGCATGGAGCCGGCTTACCGGCCAATCAAATCAGGAAGCCGGGCAGCGTGTAATGATGTGCGGCCTGGCTTCCTGATACAGGAAGTATCAGGCTAGGCATCGGAGCATTCGGGCGAGTACGGCTACTCGCCAAAATACTCGGTATCGGCACCGATATTGATACTAGTATCGGTATCGGTGCATCCCTAGTTTTAACCCCTGCAAGTTTTTATTGCTTCAGAACAATGAAGCCTCAAAAATTTAATGTGGTCATAAATGCAAGAACTATTGTGTTCAGCACACAAGCCAATACTAAGTAACTTCAGGTTTTGGTGACACCTTGAGAAAGGAGACCATTGTATCTCCAAAACCTCTGCATTACTGGAATTGCCTTGTGTGCTTTGCTATTTTTTTCTGCATTTTTTGGATTTTAAATTTTTAGATTTGAGATTTCATTGGAGAGCTGGCTTTTTGTTCTGAAGTGACTGTGGCATCACCGTTGGACCTCTCTGTTCACTCTTTCTGTTTGTCCTGGTGACCATTGTCAAATGAAAAATCCAAAATTGCAATGCTGTCACCAGATTAAGGGTGAGTCTTTTAACAGGGACACCTGTTCTGGTGACAACTGCCCAAAAAGGGGAAGTCTCCTCAGTTTCTACATATTTCCTCTTACTTCCTGTTGCCTCTCAAACACAAGAAGTGATAAGAAATCTCTCTAATGGAACGCAGACACCAACAAATTAACTGACAGGTTTTGGACCCTTCCCTGCTCTATACAAAATGTGTTGGGTATATATCCAATTTAATAATAACTTTGAAAGTCTTCTTATACACACACTGAAGTACTGGAACCTGGTAAACTGAAGAAGATATTATTTTTTTTGCATAAACAATCTGTCCTGCTTTACTCACATCATGGTCACATTGTTGGAGACAGAAGGGACAGTGCGTAATTTGGCTCCATCACAGTCAAGTTCTAATCCTCGGCACAAACAATGAGCTGGCATCCCACCAAGCACTGGATAAAAGAAGATAGGAACATTAACAAAAGTCAGAGCTACAATAAAAGGCCACCTAGTACAGTATTCTGTCAACTGCAACCTACTAAACTTACTCTGTTTTTAATTGATATCCTTGCCAAGATTCCAATTCATAAGGGGGTTGATTTGCTAAAGGATACAGGGACACCAAATGACTGTGAGGGGAATTTATCAAAGCTGGAGCAGACAAAATCTGGAGCAGCTGTGCATGGCAACCAATCAGCTTCTCTCTTTCATTTTCAAATCTTACTTGAACAAACATAAGAAAGAAGCTGATTGGTTGTCATGGGCAGATTTTGTCTGCTCCAGTTTTGATGAATCTGTGTGTCCAATGAATAACATTTTACAAGATGAGACAGAGAAAACAATAACATTGGCATTCTATTGTGAGATATAGGAGGCATTAAAGAGAGGCCGGGAATAAATGAAAGTGCCCCTTTGCTGCTGTATGCTGTTAACCACTTGCTGACCGCGGTGTTAAACCCCCTTCCTGGCCAGGCCATTTTTCAGTATTCAAGCGCTGCAATATTTTGACTGACATTTATTTCGTCATGCAACGCTTTACTGAAATGAATTTTATACCATTTTTTTGGGGGACAGATAGAGCTTTCTTTTGGTGGTATTTAATCGCCACTGGGGTTTTTATTTTTTACTATATTAAGGAAAAATTAACATAAATTTTGAAGAAAAAAAAAACAGTTTCCCCTATATTAAATGATGAAACATTTATTTGTATATTTCTTTATATGCAAATTTTCTTTTTTTTATGTTATGGCTTAACAATATTAATGTTATTGCTATCACTTAGAGGGCTAACAATCTATATGATAACACAGGCACACTGATGAGTCCTCTTTATGGAGATGCTAAGACCCCTAATGTCACCTTGGGACCCCCAAAGAAGCTGATGAAGCAGAGATCACTGTGCGGGAGGGGATGCTTAGGCGCGCAGGGCAGCACATACAAGCAATTTTTTTTTAAGGAAGTCATATTAGCTATATACAACATAGTTTTCAGTGCTGGGCAATCCAATTTCATGTTGGCAATGAAATTACAAGCACTAGTAAAGCACAAAAACATCTAGTATTGGTCATCTATCTGACATAGGATTTGAGATGGATATGATTTTTAGATGCATTCAGTTTGTATTGGAGAATTGCCTGAGATCCTTCTGAATACCTCAGCAGGTGCTTCTGATCTTCTTTTGACTAGATTCTAAGGTGCATCAAACATCAGGGTTTCATAGTCATCATTCATCATTGTTACTAAGTTTTGGTAACATGCTGTCATAAAGAGCCGTCATAGAGGTGAATTAGGCTATTCTCAGATTCTCAGGATGTCTCAGAGTCTCTGGAGACAGCCCACTACATCTCTATAACAGATGCTAGTGTATGCATGGGGCACAGGGCAAAGATATGCAGTGGGGATGTAAACAAAGCTCTGGTCTGTCGTAGGCTGTTGCCAACAGTTAAATGAGAACTATGGTGTTAAGGCTTTTCCCCATAGTTCTCCTTAGGGTAACGGGAGGACACAAACTAGTGTCCTCCCGTCACCCTAGGCTCAGTATACCGCGAGCTGTAGCTCGCGGTATACTGAGGCGCCGCAGCTGAAGCGGATCCCAACAATTGTGCCGGGATCCGCCCAGCTGCATGACTGACAGCTGGCTCTGCCTATCTAGAGGCAGAGCCAGCTGTACCCGCCCCCTCCCCCTTAGTGTATGCATGGGGCACAGGGCAAAGATATGCAGTGGGGATGTAAACAAAGCTCTGGTCTGTCGTAGGCTGTTGCCAACAGTTAAATGAGAACTATGGTGTTAAGGCTTTTCCCCATAGTTCTCCTTAGGGTAACGGGAGGACACAAACTAGTGTCCTCCCGTCACCCTAGGCTCAGTATACCGCGAGCTGTAGCTCGCGGTATACTGAGGCGCCGCAGCTGAAGCGGATCCCAACAATTGTGCCGGGATCCGCCCAGCTGCATGACTGACAGCTGGCTCTGCCTATCTAGAGGCAGAGCCAGCTGTACCCGCCCCCTCCCCCGTCCGTTACGCCAGTCAGCGCTGGCGGATCGGAGCGGGGGGTATCCAGCCCCTCCCCTGTCACGGCAGAGAGCCATGACAGGATCGAGAGATGAGCGAACGCCGGTATGTGTTCGCTCACCTCCCGATCTACTGAGCCGACCTGTTACAGTCTCATTGTCACAGATCGGCTAGAATTATGCGGTGAGTGAAAAGCACTCACCTCATAGTTCTCCTTTAAGGGTATGACATCTGCATCTGGAGTCCTTAATGTGACACTAAACTCAGGGGTTAAATCTTAAAAAATACATTCAAGTACCTTAGCTATCGACAAAAATGTAGCCTCCTTGTGTATCACTCAGCTGTAGATCCTCAAATAACCTCTGAATTCATGCTGACACTCAGTAGCCACCACTCCAAGCCCACCCCCATGATAAACTACAATCTCAATACAATGAACTAAATGTGAGATTGTAGTCCATCATGGGAGCAAACTTGGACTGGTGGCTACTTTACAACACATAGGAACCATGGGGAACAAGAGTAGCCCATAAGTTACACATCACTGCCAAGATATCGTGCCTCACCTCCTGAGCACAGCTCCGGCATTCTAACCATGGAGAAAACATTCCATATGCCTGGTATGCCAGGTTGCTATCTTTGCCACCAGGGTGTGGAACCACATGGCTTTTATATTTAAAGAAAGAAGCAGTAAGTAGGACAATATCCAGAAATCTTTTGTGGCAAAAAATCAGCCCAATCCAGGTTAAATCTAAACTTTGTGGGTTGATTCACTCATCTCTAGCATGATCTCTAAATATCGCACTTTTAATTATTTGACATGTTCAGCCAACTAGTTACTGGTAAACTTTGACTTCTTCCTGCAAATTCACTGAAAAAAAGCAGAACACATTTTCTTCTCTACAGTAATTGAGGATATTTGTGAAATACTATTTCCTCTGTAATTATACATCATAACATGACAGTATACTAACTCTGTATGCCAGCTTTGTTAAAATGTGGTAATCACAGAGCTGCTCTTAAGCCAGAAAACTCTCCTTATTATTGTGCTGTTTTACAAATATACTGGAGAATTGTATATTATTTGTATTAAAATGTAAATTCCAAACTTCCTCTTCTAGGAAAATGATGATCTATTGTAAGTGCTATCAAGCCCTTTCTTTTCTAGTAAAGGGTACAGATCTGTAACAAATAGTATCCATGGAGCTTTGTTCTGTGTGCTCTTTCAGAAGTACTGTACTTAATTGCATTTCTGTCATTATTAATGGACGTTTACAGGAACATTCTGTTCATGGTGCTTTTCAATAATGTTTCACGTTGACTCAGTGCAAAAACATCAACATTTCCACCTTTGGACTTTTCAGAGATGTTAGTATAGTCTAATTATTAAAGAATGCTGTGTGTTTGATATAAATATATTGTATGAACTTATTTTTACTCGAAAGGAAAATGACTTGTAAAGATGTATCGACATTGTAGAAAACAGCAGGAATGCTTGCTTAATATTGTATTGCATCCTATTTGCACCTTATTTTATTGTTAGAACAGCCTTGTTAATTTATTAATCCCCCATTTGGGGATTTTCCAAATGGTTCTGAAGAGTTCTTGAAGAGCCATGGCCTGATTGTGAGATGTTCAAGGAGGGGTTGCTGAGGCCAGTTCATCTACCAATCATCTTTGAAGTTTTTATTGCTGTCTTCCTGCTCAGGAGATTCACCCTTTCTATGTGGCATGGTGACGACTGTCAGAAATTGATTGGAAATTCAAAACTTTACTGAAATTCACCCCACTTTCTGAGGTGAGAAAGAGCACAATGTATTTAGGCAATGGACACAAACCTTCAACACCCCCTGTTATGCAAACAATTGGGCATTTTTATGCCAGAAATGATTGGTTAAGCCCAGAATCGTTTTTAATTTTCACATCTGCTTTTCCTTTATATTGGATTTTCGAAACAAGATTTAGGCGCAGAATAACAATTTTTGGTAATGAAATAGTAAATTTTTAAAGATATGTGTACATCAGATTAAAAATAGGGACAAGTGAGCAGGAATAAGGGACAGAGGAATTTGGTTCCAAATTAGTTATGTTGTCACCAAAAAAAAAAATCTTCCAACGTGGACACCTATTACAGTGACATCTGTCTAAGAGGGGAATGCTCATCACATTCTGTTGAGTCTTCATAAGTCTTCATCAAAGTTTTTGTTATGCATAGACAATTTAAAATCTGCCTCTATATAAAACTAATAATACAAGTTTCGGTTGCCTATGTGTAGGTAAATTCCACCACTTACAAGGTGCTTTCTTGTATTCTGGCAAATAAACATGGAGAATTAATTCTGTTTCATGAAACACAGAGCAACTGTTGTATCAGTGGACTAAGAAAAAAAGCATTTGCCACAGGACAACTAGAAAACAGTTCTTCTTCAAAGAATGCTGGAGGTTTAATATGAATATGTTGTATAATCTTAATTGTACTCTAAAGCAAAATGACATTGTAGAAAACAGCAGTAATGCTTGCTTTCTATTGCATTGCACTATGCAGTATGATGCAGGGTATTTCTTATAGGCTCATCATGTGGGTGTGAAAGTATTTAAGCTTGTGTAGTATCAGATTGCAGCTATGCGATATCATTCTTGGGTTTTGAAGGATAAGAATCATGTTTCAGTTCTGCTCAATAGAAAATGTGCCCAGTGCTTCCAAAGTAGATGGCACCAACACTGAGGTAAAGGAATGATCTTCTGCAAAGCTGCCTGATAGAGATGATAAATGCACTTTATTTCTTACATACAAGGTTGAATAACAGCATGCCTTTGGAAGTTAATCCATGCAGATTCACTGTGTAAGAAATCAATCTCCTATGCCCTGGTTAGTAGGATTTCCCTTGTACTAAGCACTCCAGTGGAAACAATAACCCAAGCTGCATCCAGTGCTTCCCATAA